AGCCACGCCCTCTCCAGCTCCGGTATAAGTGATTTAACTTGCAGTGGATGGTGTGTGAAGGAAGGGGCTGAAACGCTATTACAATCTTGTTACCTGCCGACATAAATGCGAAATAGAGACCACCGTGGCATTTGACGTAATGGGATGAGTAATTGTCCTCCTTGGCTTGGGACAGTTTCTCGTATCCTAAAGCTTTGCTACTTTTTTACTGGCCATGTGTTACCTTGATAGTACCCACAGCGCCTTCCCATTGATGGCTGACAGAAAGAAGCAATGCAAATGTGCAAAACGCCTCCCCCTCTATGGCCGGTCTGGTGCCCTCCCCCTCCCCCCGAACTGTTATGAGAAACTGTTTTGTGTTTAGCATGCGTTTCAAGATACATCAGAGGGAAACCACGCATCAGCGTTTCGAACAGCCAACAGATGGGATCCAAGCCAGGGCACATCATTGGCTGGGGATTTTAGTCGAGTCTGTACGACCCCCCTCTCCTAGTGGCCAAATACGACCCCCCTATTGGGGATTCCCCAACAACGATGTTCCCTGATCCAAGCTCGCTGTTGTACTGGGCGAACCCAAGAACTCGGAGTGTTGGCACACGATACTGGCGCCAAATATTATGTCATTTCTCCTCTGTGCCCTTTTGAGATTCTCACGGACTTGTTCTTATAGACATTGCGGAACATCTTCAGCAAATGAATAATTGGTGGATATTCCTGGCGGGCATTTTGCACGCATTTATATTTGCTATTCCTTCCACTTGTCTGGCTGATATCAAACACTTGGCATGCCCCGATCGTGGGAAGAAATGCGTCTCTTCGAGAAGTGAGGTTTCCCTGGAGATTGTCTTGAAAGGCCCTCAACCATTTCATCTATCTCTCACGAGTGGTTCAGGTCAGACTAAACAATAGGGAGTGGAATAAGAGGCAATTTTGAGCTTTTGATTTATTTCGGGAGCTCTACGTCCATATTCCATACATAATCAGTGAAGCATTTGTGCCTTCTCTTGTGGAGGCGTAATTGCCTTCTAAGCTGAAACTTCAAGGAATGGGCACCGTCGGATGCCAAGCTCAGGTTTGCCTATGAACTGGCTCCAGCACGGCCATAATCGCGGATTCATGGGATAAAACTACTCCTTAAGCGCAGTTTTAACCCCACAGCGATTTTGACTGAGCTGTTCAATGAGCTGCTTATCCAGTCAACTCTCAATCTCGTGCACCCTCTCAAAAAGGACCAAAACACACTCTATGAGCCTGCTTGAGGAGATACGAGCCTCGAATTCGATTTTGTGAGCGGGCTAGGCGGATATCAATGGCTACATTCCCAATGTTTTCAGAAGCCGATTCCACCTTAGGTTCATATGAACCTGTAAGATCACAATTTGAAAAAACCGTGTCTATCCTGGCTTATGCGCACGTCCCATTTTTCATACACACTTTCCTTTTCTGAGCTCTTTTTGTATTTTAGCACTTTTTGCTGCATTGTTTAATGCGGTACACCCCATATTAATTTGATATGGCAAAAAATTAAAAATTGATTTGGCCTCTACTTGAATTGGGGAAGGAAGCTGATGTAGAACCTAGTGCTTTCAATCCTCTAGAAGAACCACCATATGACAAAGTTAGGAGACTTTGGCTAGACGAGGAAGAAACTGACATAGTAGTTGATCCGAGGTGTCTCGCTGCCTCCCTGCACTTCCTATTTCCCCGCACATTTTCTGGAACTTCACTCCTACATCTTACAACATTTTGCAACTTCGGTCAGAGTGTAAGTAACTTGATCACCGTAGAAAAAAAATCTGGTGTCGAGTTGTCTAAACATATGCATGTCCCATTCACATAGTAAAGGATAAAATAGTAATAGGCTACGTTGATAAGTTGTTTTTTAGAATAGTAAATAATACAGATAGGTTCCAATATTGAAGGTTTTGTTATAAATGAGCACAACGGTCTCGAAGTAGGCAAAAAATTCCTGTTAGTGCTTGAAAATTTTGCTGCTTGGCACATTCTTCCTATTTCTTGGCACTTAGTCGTTCCCGAGAGATAAAGCACCCGTGAGGGTAGCTAAGCCGTAATAACAGGGAGACAGGGAGACCCAGGTAGTTGAAGAGAGTTCCTGGGGATAAAATATTCGGAAACAAACCAGTAAATTTTGAGTTTTTGTGACTTTCGAGATTTTCTGCAATAAGTTCCATTTTGGTCACGGTTCCTTTTGTGACAACAGGGCTCCCGGACAGCCCAATACTTATAGAGATACAAATTTTTCTAGGGAATACTTCTTTTTTTCTCTTTCTTCCTTCTTTACTTTCCTTGTATTAGTTATTCCCTTCTCTTTCTGTCACTAATTCCACTGAGAACGGTGAGTAGCATCGCTGTAGAACTCTCAACACGGGCATAAGAACTGGTTCAGATCTAGTCTTGGTCATATAAGACTTTCACCCTCCCAGTGGCTTTCGGAGAGATTCGTCCTTGTCCTTGTTTTGGTGAAAGAAAGAAGGCATTGTCTCAATATCTAAAGGAAAATGGCCAGGTTAAGGAAAGGAAAGAAATGCATGGGAATTGAATCTTGCCGAATTTCCCTCTTATGCTGCTTTTTTTTCAGAGAAGTGCTACAGCTGTTCATCACCGCAACTGCATTTGAGATGGGTGAGTGGTTACAAAGTCTCCTAGAGTCTCAAAAGCTACTTCTTTTGCACATTTTCAAACTGTTCTATTGCATCTACTTCCAGTCATGAGCGATTATTTTACGTCTTTTTTGCATTGAAAATAGGTATAAGGATAAAGGATAAAGTCTTCGCCGTTGATCAATCCCTTTGTGGGATGCGGCACGCATTCTACTTCCATTCAGAATCGTAGTGGCTTATTGAATGCGATGTGGCCTATACAATGACTTGCGGGGGCCAGCCGATGTACAAGTCAGTGTTTTATCCTCCCAGACGAATCTGGTACCAATTTACCGTCCCCGGAGGAAAGAAGGCTTGGTTGGCCTGGGCGGGAGTCAACCCAGCACCGTGTGAGTGGTAAGCGCGCCACTTGTCACTACATCACCTCCTGCCCGTTAAGTGAAAATAAGGCAATCAAAGGTAACATTGTTCTATTTACATAAGGGTCACGTTGTAAGACCAGGTTGGTACTTTGCGACTCGGGAGAATAGGGCATCGGTAGTACCAGCGTTTTGAGGGACTGCGCGAAAAGGAAACTTCCGTCGATTCTACTACAACGGCGAGTCCTCCCAATCGCGAAGTATAAATGCAAATTCCCTTTGATTCGTTGCCGAAGCGAGTCAAGGGGCTGTGTTTGGTACGCCCCGGTTCTCTACAGCGAAATGATCTTTAAAAAATGGGCTGGAGCCGCTCCAATACCAGCCCCGTGATACCCCTGGGAACTAGATTGCACATCCTATGGCTGATGCTAACGGGAGATAGTTACCAAGAGAGTCACTTTCTCGGTGAGGGAACTTAGGTGGACAGAAACCTCGCAGAAGACTGGCTGTCTGCACGCTTCAAGACTTTTGAGAACCATTTAAAATGCAAGCCCAGGAGTGGTCTTGAAGTCTACCGAATTCCCTACGTTAATATTGAAAAACCTATTTGTGTCCAACTTGCTCAGTATTCACAGACATTGAGCGTTTTGGGTGGTTTGCTCAGCGCACTTTACACTCCTTTTGAGGACCTGCTTGCCGTGACCCTTCTAAATTACCCTCTCGACTTCGCGAAGCCATAACATTTTAAGCAGAGAACTCCGAGAACTCGGGCGTCTTTTTCCCGGAAGCTTTTTTGAACGGAGGCCATTGAAAGGGGAAGATTTCGACGAGACGCCCTTGAATAAGGGCTCGCCCTTTGAAGTTGCTTGATTGAATGTGAATGAGGATGTCAGTGAGCCGACGGGCCGTCAATTAGGGGAAGGGTTTCACGGCAGTCTAGGTCTAAATGAATCCAGAGCTCTTATTCACGCTTGAAACTGGATCACCTATACCTGTGGTGGGAATGGTCGTACGTACAAATTAGGTTTCTTTCTCTGCAATTCATCAAATTCGATGCCCCACCCTACCCTTACTGAAGAGCGCGGTAGGAGGGCTATGTTTTTGCTCGGCTTCCGTCTAAAGGCACACTGGAAACGAAAACTAAGCTGCCTATTTGCTTTCGACCCCTCCCCTCACTATTTCTCAATTATTCGATTTTTCAAATTGATGAATAAATTTTCAATTTCAATGACTCTTCGGGGCATTTCCACGAGGGAGGGCTATTTTCACTTGTGGTACGTCCCATTTGGGTTTCGAGTCGAGTCAGATGGATGTACGCATGTAGAGAATACCTGTCATTTCTTGTGAATTTATGGTAAAATTCATTTTCTGAGCTTTTCCATGAGCTTACAAGAGTTGACAGGATTCACCGGAGTGAACTTGTGAACCGGTACTAGTGAAGCAGTGGAAGTGCAAAGTACTCCCCTAGCCGAAGTGTGCCGGTTTTCTTACCATTGGTGCAAACTCCAGTGTACTCGGGGGCGGTAAAGCGTCACAACATTCACTACTGGCAAAATAGCTCAAAGTATCGCAAACCGTGTAATATTGACTGCAATACACGCCTGCCCAATTGGGGGGCAAGAGAATCATAATTTACCGCTCCGCCGCGCGGCGACGGGCGCGCGACGACGCGACACCGCAATTCTTATGTCCTTGTCCTTAGACTGGGTCCAGAGTCAAGTATAACTCGTCCGATTTTAATACTCAGCTCCATATAACTGAGCTACTCGTCCCACCGCAAATTGATCCGTGTTGAGATTCTTTGCTCAATCAGTCACGATTACTGTCATTCTCTTTCAGCCAAAGGACGAAGAGACGAACAAGCTGCAGTATCTTCGAGAGTTCCCATGGTTTGCTAACGAAAGCTGTGACCAGGTATGCGTGGAACGTTTTACGTTTGGCTGTCAGGAAGTTTACAACGCATGTGATAAGCTGTCAGTGGGATATCAGCGAAGATGAAAATTGTAATGTGTTCCGGAATGATGATTTATATAGTGGGTTGTAACCCAACACATTAGATTATTGGCCCAACATCGGAGCAGCAGCAAAACAACGTAATGGAGGGCGCTAAAAACCTCGAAGAAGTGGGGCAGGATTCTTAGGAGACAACTCCGATCAACCATCAGAAATAGTGATTTATAGGCGCCTGTGTGCTTTATAGGAGGGCAGGAAAAGATGGGTCTCCCGTCCTGTGACGAAAATATAAAGGAGAACTTTGAAGCTTGCAAGGTAGGAAGAAGGGGAGGGGAGTCGCGTGCGATTTTCTCTGGGCCAACATGACAGTGCTGGCTCGAAATTTATGCTTTCTTGAGTATTAATTCAACTGATCATGTGAAAATGGCTGGCTCATGACTTAATTTTTCCCAAAATTCCAGGTGAAAAACTCGCTGCCCGTCGTGGATTGCCCAAATAGCGTCTGCATCAAGGCTGTGATCACGGAACCACCAGCAAAAAGAGACGTTTTGCAGTAAGATTTAACCTTTATTATTTATTTTATTTCCTTTGAAACATTTATTTCCTCTTCCCTTTGCTTTATTTCTTTTGAAACAAAAAACCCCTTTGTTGATATATGTTAGCGCCACGCGAGCTTTAAAGGCACGGTAGGTATAGAAGCTGAGACTATGGCGTCGGAAGAGTAGTGCTGTGCGCAGCGGACAACCTGGTACCGGTTTCGCTGCAAAATATCGTAAGGGAGGGGCGTTGCAGCGCACTATAGGTTCAGTGACACCTCCTTTTTTTCCGGTGATGTCGCATCCAGACTCCGCCTTCAAGGCCCGCCTTCTAGTGAAAAACGAAAAGTATGAGATTCGTCCCGGGCCGATTGTGTGGATGGGAGGTATTTTGGAGATGGGTGATGGGAGACAGAACAAATTGCCGATTCAAAATGGGTTCTATTAGGCAGCTTGCATGTTTTTTTTTGCTTTTTTCTTCACTTCCCAGTACTCAGCACCATTGTGTCTATTATGCAACCCTACTCCATTATTCGTTGTATGGCAGAATGCTAGCGAGCTCCTGTCTTTGCATCAAAACGACCTCTTTTTTGAGTTTCAGTGCAAGGCGGTGCTGTTGTACGAGATTGCTGGAGTCGAGTGATCGGACAGGACGGTCCTTTTGCACTGGATCCGAAAGCACGACGAGATATAGTGAGATTTCTTTCCCCATTTTGAACTGTTTTTTCTTGTAGTCTGATATTTTTATTGTTCCTTGTAAATGTTTCTCATATAGTTTTCTTTGAATCTCTTTGAAATCTTTTTTATTCAGTACTAGGCTGGAGTGGTGAGTTAATTCAAAAAGTTTAGGTAAAACTGAGTGAAGACGATGATGCAAATCGGATACTGGGAACGATCTATATTTGTCGAGGATTCCTCTGCAATGCCTCTTCTCCATCAGTGCAAATCACTCAACTACTTGCCTTACCTTTGCTGTTGGTGCTTCTCGGTACCGTAGCGCTTCAAAATGTTGCACTTTTATGATGACCGCTGCAAGTCTTCTGAACTCCAAAGTGCCATTGAGAACTTCAGAATCCTCTTTTTCATGGTTATCTCGCCAGTATGGGTTGGTTAGAGCGATCCAAGTATGTTGTATTATATTCAAACAGATAATTTATTGCTAGACGGGTGCTTTAAAACGGGTTCAGGCAAGCACATAAAACAGATGAGCTTTTCTTGTATTATTGTATGCCGTGAAAGTAGAGAATAAAGCTATTTATATGTGTTAGTAATCCTGTTAGTAATCCTACTGCAGTAAACAATCAGTAGTTATGCTACATATGTCGTCACGTATTATAGCAATAAGCGCTCACTATCACTAAGGCGAGAGTAAATGCCGGGTTGTTCAGACAACGGGGCATTAGGATTTGGTTATACTTTTTTACTTTTTGCTTTACTGACTATCCACTTGTACCGCGTAATGACTGGGTCTCGTTCCACAGCGCAAGAATGCCTTCCTCCCAAAACTGCAGGGCTTGCGCCTGGAAGAATTTCTCTTTTCCGGGTTCAACAGCCTCTAAGAGTAAGCAGCTGGCACAATAAATCTCCAAGACGAGTAACGTTAATAACGCGGCGGGACGGAATACCGCGCCTCTGAACAGGCGCTACGTAGCTCCTCCAAAAACGATATCTTTATAGCGCCCCATCAAGCTGCAACATAGCGGGACGCCCAGCCGTGCCCTGTCTGCCGAACCAAGGTCAATGGACGACCGTACCTGATGTTTGTTGCTTCATCTGCCGAAGAGTAAAAAATATGTGAGCGAATATGAGAATGACATAAAGCCGCTTAACGACCGCTCTGTATGTGCTGGGTATTTGGCAAGATGCCTTCGGAAAATCTCCCGTTTCCGGAAGCTGCTTCTCGCAAGTCTAGTAAGACACGAAGCGCTTTTCTTCGCAGATGTTTTGCTGTTCATTTCACTTTGTTGGTTTCTTCGCCAATTTTCCCCAGAATTATAGGACTCTGCGCTACTAACATTTTTAGAAACCAGTGTACCAATGGTCGTGCCTATGCCCTTATAAGCCAGGCGCTTTGCACTGTAGAACGGATACGATCTCGCTGGAATATCTAGGGCGGTAACAGTTTCTGATTCCCGTTGGCTGACAAGAGAAGATCGATGACAACAGTGGGTAGATTGATAAGAGCGCGGCTCAGACCGGATCCTGTGTCACAAGAATGACGTCACGGAACATGAAGTGCGTCGACAGGATGTATTTGAAGCCAAGGCACGCCGAACGTATGTGACATCCATCAGGACCGGGAAGGAGTTCTTCTCTGGCCTTTGGGTAAGGGCAGTGGGCAGACGCTGTCGTGTGTCTCGTTCTCGCTTTCTGAGCGAGGCGTTAGTCTGATCGTTTTTGTGTTCTCTAGTGCGCTTGCCCCTTCACTCGGTGAGGGTTTCTTGCGGGTTCCTGAGAATTTCGGAAAAAAAAAGTTGTAGGAAAGTTTGGGGAGTGGTAGGTAGGATTGGAATGGGGAGTTGTTGTGAAAGGAGCAGGGCACGCCATCATTGTGATAATCACAGCGGGGAGTCGTACGTGACCGCGAGGGAGGGGGAGTCTCATAAGCGCAGGGCCCATTCTGAAGTGGGGAGAGCAGCGATACTCAGATGTTGTATAGCTTGAATGATGAAAGATTTATTCATTGTTCTCCATGTGCAGAACACCTGAAGAGACATCTGAAGACAGAAGCAACCTGCAAGCTCAGAAGTGGGGAACAGGCGATGACAGGAAGTACGATGGCCGAACACAGCGACGTCATAAATTGATAAACAGAAGAAACATGTACACGTTCGGACCTTTCTGATCGCAGGAGCACATCTGCTTGCACGGGAGGGATAGCAGGGGCAGTTCTTTATAACTCCATGCAGCAGTTGAGATTATGAGTAAGGACAGTGGACATTCGAATTTTTCATCGTGACAAAAGTACAATTCGTTGAATACAGAAAGTACAGCAATTCAATAAATGTGAGGTATTGCCGCATGTTCCAGCTGCTTCACCTAATCTGTTCCTATATAAGGCGCAGTTTCAGGGTACAACATCGTGATGTGTGAAACGGCGGTGTCAGTGGGAACCCCCTCCTCTTCTTCGCCCTGCCTCCCATCTTCGCGACATACCCTTCCCATTTCACCAGTTTTCCTCAATTTTTTTTTCTGAAATTCTTCCGGTATGACGATAGAGCCGAAGGGAGGGGACATGGAGAGGTATATGGTCAACACAAAAAAGGGAAAA